AGTTATTACTAAGCTATATTCCGGGAAATTGTTCTTTCTTTGAAACTTTAAAAAGCCAACTTCAGAGCCTAAGTCTCTCCTTGACATTAACACACTCTTTATCTCAGGAGGACTAAATGAGAAAGTCTTTACAGTGAAATCACTTAATTCTCTCCCTTCCGGGAGGAAGTAATGAGTCAGAAGGGCAGCCAGCTTTTAGAAAGAAAGGTCACCTCGTCCATTACTAGCTTGGAGGGGCAAAAAGGGAGGAGTAAAGGGAGGTGACAAAATGAATGAAAAAGCCAAAAAGCTTTCCTGTGAGTTCTAAATGCTGGATTTACAAAGTGACTTCGTTATTTGGTTTAGAGCACTGAATTCCCAGATCAGGCCCACTGTTACTCAACTATAACTGCAGAGTGTGGAAGTGAATTTTGAATTGCCAAAATACTAGCTTGTATTGCCACCATACAATAGAAGGCAGAGAGTTGAGTCATTATGCGAATTTTATTAAATTCATATTTCCTAAATCATACTAAAAATGAATTAGCTACACAAGTATTCTTCGAAATTAGTACTTTTGCTTTTTACAGTTTCAGATATTTCTGTATTCTGGTGGCTTTGGAGTGAGTCCAGGGTTCAAAGCCCTCCATTCGGGGGCCTCAGACAAATCGCTTGCTAAAGCTCTGTTTGCTCATCTATAGATATAAAAGGCAAAGTGACCAACTGTCCATCCAACCGTCTGACCAGCCGGTACATATGACATGCACTGGCAATCTATATATAGAAAAGGCTAAGTAACCGACTGAATGTCCGTCCCACCAACCGGCCGGCTGGTACATATGACGCACACTGGAAATTTAAAAATAAACATTGACTCACTCATATGCAATACATATAAAGCTCTCGCTGGCGCCAATTGCACATGTGTGTTTTGATCTGTCATTGTTGACCGTGAATTTGGTTGACACTTCTATTATAGAGAAAGGGCTAATAGTGATATTAAAATATTTCTTCTAATTAATTTCCTTTCAATGTGCATGAATCGTGCACCACGTCAATAGTCTGTAAATAATGGATGATTGGCTCTAGCTGGTTTGGCTCAATGGACAGAGCATCGACCTGTGAACTGAAGGGTCCCAGGTTTGATTCCAGTCAAGGGCACATGCCCAGGTTGCGGGCTTGATCCCCAGTAGGGGGGCATGCAGGAGGCAGCCGATCAATGATTCTCTCTCATCATTGATGTTTCTATCTCTCTCTTCTCCCTTCCTCTCTCTGAAATCAATAAAAATATTTAAAAATAATAATAATGATAGATGACTGCAGTACCTACACCCAAGGGTGGATTGTGTTAATGGAGCTAAAAGGTAGATATTATTATTAATATTACCATGTGCACAAGAGGGGACTTCCTCTCACAAGATGTCCCACCCATCAGGAAGACAATGGACTCCGGTTTCCAGAAGGGGACATTTGGTCCAGGTCTAGCCATTGGCCCTGTGATGTTATGGGCTATGGAGAGACTCACTCCACAAGTCATGAGCCAAAAGGGTCTAAACCAAGCATGTCAAACTCACGGCAGCATGCAATCCCATCCCAGCAGCTAAGTCAAGTGCTGTCTACCATAAAACGTGCCTGGGAAGCCAGGGCTGCTGTTTTAACACTTGGTGATAAAAGATCAAGCTTTCATTTTCCCGAGGCCTCAGTAAGTGCTGATAAATTATTTATCCCAGTTGGTTTGTGTGATTTCATTTCAGCATGGCAATGTTTATCATAGAAGCTCATTCTAATTGTGTAGTTTGGGGCACTTTCCTATTTTCTCCTCAGGGCACCTTGTGGCACCCTTTCTCCACCTCCCACTGCTGGGCTGATTTAGTACTATTTGCGACTGGGTACTATTCTGAAAGATGGATGAATTTCATTCTGTCTTTAAATATTTATGTTTCTTTATGATCTAATATATCATCGTGGTTATGGGGAGTTTTTTTCCCCTAACTACAGAAAATACACCATCAGTTACCTGTCAATTTTGTTTAATAACTCAGCTTCGCGATTCTGGGGCACTGTTTATCCGAGGCTCCTGAGGACTCTTTTAGTCTCTCAGTCCCCGCCAGAGTATCATTATGGGATTTATAAAGATCTTCATTGCACAGAGGATATTGCAACATGAAGGGCTTGGGTGGCATGTCCTTTATCACTCATCACACTGGGGGACCCACGACTAGAAATCCGGGCCTTTTCCTTTTGTTGTTTGCTCCCAGCGTGGAAGAGCAGTCTCTGTAGAAAACCAGCCATTCACCTCTGGAAACAATTCATCCGATTTCTTTCAAGAGAAATACAATTTCATCTGATCTGATGGGTTCAATGATACTTCTTAAGATAAATGATGAAAATATCAGCATCATAATACAAAGAAACCCGATTCTTTTGGTTTCATCTCATTGAAAAGCATTATAGCCCACTTAACTCCTTCTGTCTCCTTCCCTAATGCTATTGGTCCTTGGCTCAAGGAGATGGGCAAAGTTCTGCATCTGTTCCCACACCAAGCAGACCCTGCGCAGCCTCCTGCCCCAGCCTCCTGGCCCAGCCTCCTGGCCCAGCCTCCTGGCTGCCTCAGAACCTTTGGGAATAGGAGGACCTGGGGAGGGGCCTCAGAGCCAGTACTTTTCCCATGCTCCCCAGGCGCTCTGCAGTGTGGGAACCTCCAGTGTAGAACTGCAGCTACCTAGTCCCTTGGAGCTTTGAAAGAAACCCAGGCCCCAATTCTCTCTCATTCCATCTGTAGATCTATATTTGAACGTGTGTTCTTCCTGAGACATTTTTAAATGTGTGCTTAGTTCTACAAATGGGCAGTCCCTGGCTCACCTGTGCATGCAAGGGAAACAGAATTAGATAAGGCGGGCCTCATTTGTCCAAACAGGGAAGAAGCCAGAAGATGTGTGAAGCCACCGGGTAAATAGGATGCCTCTTCCTACAGCATTGGGTCTTTTTAAATTAGTTTTTTTTTTTTAATTACAACAGATTTGTTATGGAGGGGGAATAGGTCATGTGGATTTTATGCTTAACATGTAACTTCAAACAAGTTTCTGACTTGAGCCGGTACTGGGCCCCAGACCTCTGGCAGTGAGAAAGCGCACGTCCCTTCTCTCAGCAGTGCCTCTGTCTGCATTCAAGCTTATCCTTGAGCATTGATTCCTGAATACGTGGGTCCGGGAGGTTAAACTGAACACCCATTTGAAACCACTACAGAGAACCGGCCCCAAGAGGACCCTGCACAAGGATGTTGAACGAGTTGCTGCCAGGAGTCACTCAGGCACTTGCCGCCTAAGATGAGCACTTTCCATTCCAGCCACTCTTGAGGGCATAGTCACAAAGGAGAATTCCTTACCCTATTTGTTTTTAAACAGAGTATTTTATTTAGAACAGGAGGTTGGCAGAGCAGGAAAAGGAAATAGCCGTGTGAAGACACCAGGGCTCTCACTGACCCATCTCATTGTACCGGCAATTCGTAAAACATTCTTGAGCTTATGGAACCCCAGAGGGCTTCCTTGCCCCAGGAGGGCTTAGTTCTCCCTAGGACACCCATTTTTTCAAGCTTCTGCTGATGAAGAAGAAACAAATCCAAGGCCCCAAGCCCAGGAGTGAAGATTTCTGAGCAGGGGGTCCTGATAGACCCACAAGATCCCTTCAACCCTGAGGTTCCTTGAACCCGCTACCTTGGTCTGTCCCCTCAGTCCTGGCCAAGTCCCCACCCCGACCACTTTGCGTACCATCTCATTAATCGTCCAGAAGATGGACTGGGAGTGGCGCCTCTGCTCTCCACAGTGGGGCCTTGGAAATGGGGAGGGGCCCTTTATCGACTCTACTAGCCTGATGTCAGACTCTCTTCTCTACCTTTTGACTTTGTCTTTTCCTGCGACTCCCCGTCATTCAGCCACACTTCGCAGGCTACCCAGGCCCCCCAGCTCTGCCTTTGCTCATGCTCTTCTCTTTCCCCTAATCTAGAATTTGCTCCCTGTAAACCCTGCCTGGCAGGGTCCTACCCCATGAAAACTTCCTGGATTCTTCACCTGCCCCTCAGCGAGATGTGATTTCCCCTTCCTCAGGCACTAACACCTCCTCGTGGCACTTGGCATGCTCTTCTTGGCTGTGTCCTTGAAGACAGAGTATCAGACTGAGAGTCAGAAACCCAGGTTCCTATCCCGGCACGGTCACTCGCTGTCTCTGACATGGGCAAGCCCCCTAACTCCTCCGTGCTTTCAGTTTCCTTATCTGAGAAAGGAGATAATCACCGCTCATAGGTGCTGCGAGGGGAAATGACAGTGCGTGGAAATGAACTTGTCAGCAAAAATGCAGTGATTATTTCTCTGCTTTTCATTACCTTTCCTACTTGTCTCTGAGCCATTTGAGGAAAGAGACCATGGCTTGCTCATCATTGTATACGATTACCATTATTGCATTGCTGTTAATACATTATTGTTACTATATTTCTAACGGTTAATGTTTATGGAGCATGTATAATTGTGTTGGGCACCATTCTAGGTGCTTTATATAGATTGATTAATTTTTCAAATAATCCTAAGAGGCAGGTACTATTATTATCCCACATTTAGAGGAGAAAACCAAGCATTGCACAGAGCCTGCAATGAGTGAAGAATTGAATGAGACAAACACTGTTGGCATTGCCCACCCGATGATTGTTTTTCTCCCTCTTGGTTTTGTGCCCCGCTTTTCTTTCTTTGGAGGTAAAGGCACAATAGGAGGAAGTCTTGATTGAACTCTGAAAGACATGAGATCTCCTAGGGCTTCCTATTGTCATGAAGAGGCTCAGTGAGTTCCAAGCGGACAGAAATCGGGTCTGTCTCATTATCTATCATACTCCTAGGGCCCAGAACAACACCCAGTGATTAACCAATGTTCAGTGAATAAATAAACCAAGTCATTTATAAACAGCAGATCCATGACCACTAAAGCCACACAGATCGCTCAGGAGATGGTGAGCAGTGTTCTTCTTCCTCCCTCAGGCAGTATTACGAGATGCTGTACAACACGGCTGACGAGCTCCTGAACCTGGTGGTGGACCAGGGCGTGAAGTACACGGAGCTGGAGTACATCCATGCCCTGACCTTGCTGCACCGCAGCCAGACGGGCGTGGGAGACCAGACCACCCAGAACACGAGGCTGCAGCGGCTCAAGGAGATCATCTGTGAGCAGGCCGCCATCAAGCAGGCCACCAAGGATAAAAAGATAACCACGGTGTAGCGGGGGCTGGAGGGGGGGTACTGCGTGGGGTCAGGGGTGGGGGATGGTCACTTCTGGTTATTTAGTCAAACTTATACTTACTTTTTTCTTTGGCATGTTATTTGGTATATTCTGAGCTGACGTCATGGAGAGATGCTTTAGTGGAGAGAAGGTGTAAGGATTTTTTCCTCTTCCGTTTAGGCTTTTCATATACACTCCAAAGGGAGTTTGCAGTACAGAATATTTTGATTTAACATCTACTTTGATGAGGTCGATTCCAAAGGGACTTGGGTGGGACCGAGAACAAGGTTGTGTCAATGGGACTCTGAGAAAATAAATGCACGAGTTGCTGATGCCCAGCAGTCTTTGGGAGGCAGGCTGCTACCTAAGCCTCAGTCTCTTCCTAAATCTGCTTCACAGGTTCTCTTGCAGGAACAGTAGGGATCTTACCCTCTTGACCTTGTCAGTTTTCAGTTCAGTGAAATAAGTGCATGTGCACTGCTTTCTGTCTCAGTTGTCAAGATCAAATGAGTGGCTTCTCCGCTGGATGGAGCTCTCAGCAAACTTGCCTGAGCAGCACAGAGCGCCTCAGGGCTGGGGGAGAGCCCTGTGTGTGTTTTGTTGTTGTTGTTGTTGTTTGTTTCGTTTTTTTATTTCAGAGAGGAAGGGAGAGGGAGAGAGAGAGAGAAACATCAATGATGAAAGAGAATCATTGATTGGCTGCCTCCTGCACGCTCCCTACTGGGGATCGAGCCTGCAACCTGGGCATGTGCCCTGACCCAGAATCGAACCGTGACCTCCTGGTTCATAGGTTGATGCTCAACCACTGAGCCACGCCGGCCAGGCATGCCCTCTGTGTTTTATATGCAGTGGCTCGTCCACAGCTTATGAGTTTGTCTTTTACCTTTTAATTTTTATTTCTGCCGTATCAAAACCAAGAGCCATCAAATTAATGACAAAAATGGCAGAATGAAAGGTGATTCAGTTGTCTTCTTGATTTTCTCCCCACACTTTCTGGGAAAATAATGGCTACAAAACTTTTCATCTCACTGGACACATTGGGTGTGAACGATGCTTAGGTGCTCATTTACCCTCCTATGAGCCCCGCGGTCTTTCTCACCTTAGGAAGTAGCCCCGCCCTGTCTGCTCAGCTGAGTGCTAGGAGAGGGGCCGGGAAAATAATGGCTACAAAACTTTTCATCTCACTGGACACATTGGGTGTGAACGATGCTTAGGTGCTCATTTACCCTCCTGTGAGCCCCTCGGTCTTTCTCACCTTAGGAAGTAGCCCCGTCTGTTCAGCTGAGTGCTAGGAGAGGGGCAACTATGGCATCCCCCCTTTGTGTACCAGCCAGCGAGTCCATGTCTGAAATGCTCCTGGGTGGTGTGAGTGCTCACTGCCCCTGCCACATGGCCTCACCACTGTTCCAGGGCTGCCACGTGCTCTTGGCACCCTTGGGTGATCTGTCACAGAAGAAAGAGGGGTGCTGACTGCGACACGCCTTGAACACAGGTGGGAGGGAGAGCAGCAGGGACTTTGATGCACATGGCCCTTCCTCACGCCCTAATGGTCCAGAATTTGACACCTGTTTGTACAACTTTGGTCTTGGTGGGAACAAAAGAACATTAAAGTGTTTGAGAAGCTTAAACGTGGTGTGTTGTTTTTCTTGTATTCTTTATTCAGCAAACATTTCCTGAGCCATATATGTGCCAGTGCTGGTGGGCGTGGGCTAGCTCTAGACACGAGGACACTCATCGCTTTCATAGGACAGAGCAAGAGAACCGGCTGAACTCTCACAGCACAACCCTTGAGAGGGCCAGTAACCCAGAAACCGGGGGGCCCTCCACCTGGGGCACTGCCCCCTGCTGAGTGACCTCAGTCCTAGGAGCCCCAGATCCTCTCCGGGACCTCCTGTCTGAATATTTCCTCAGCTTGTCAGTCACTGATTTATGTTTCAGATGGCCTGGGAAGAAACCCTCAAGCGCAGCCAAGTTGAATTGGCAACTAATCCTGATGATTCTCCCTGTCAGGTCACCCCCATGGATGTCTGCGCTAATGCCTCCACTCAGTCAGTCAAAGATGTAATTGCCCGTCCCAGCCCAGGTGGCACGGGGTGCATGCAGTGGCCAGCAAGAGACAGCTCCTGTCACACGGAGCTTATACTTCCGCCCTGATGGAGAGTCGTACAACCTCCACTCTGATACGGAGAGTCGTACAACCTCCGCTCTGATACTGTCCTCCCAGGGCCCCTTTCTCCTTCTCCCTCTGCCACAGCTGTCCTGTCACTTCGGAAGGCATCTCATCTTGCAGGACCTAGGACTGAAGTCTTCAGCGTTGTCCTCAGGACTCTTGCTCTGAGGTATCGCTATGGCTGCCTCCCCGGGACCAGGGGACACACATTTCCCAGTAAAGCACAGAGGGTGACAGGACTCAGGCCAGCTAGACTCACTCCACCGGGGGCAGATCTGAGAAGACCAGCAAAACGGCCGTCCTTCTGGCAGGATACGGAAGCAAGGAGCATCCTGAGCAACAAGCTTGTGCCTGAGAAGCAACGTGTTTGCGGAATAGACAGCTGGGAACAACCGTCTTAATGTGGCAGGGACGTCAGACAAACTGGTCACAGTTGGGAGGGAGGGTAATGAGGTCCAAGAACAAGGAAACACAGAGGGACGGGCTCAGCAAAGGCCCGAGCCTGTCTCCATGAGGCACAGTTGTTATAAGAAGTACTTAATGAATGTCCAGATGTGGAAGGTAGCAGAGTGTTTTCTGAAGTGGAAGTTGGAGGGAGGCGTGCACAGCTGGCAGTGGGTGTCCTCGTTAGCTGAGGCCTGGGCCCGCCTGGGATTTTGCAGAGGTGCAGGGAGGCAGCCACAGGGCTGGGGTGCAGTGAGAGAGCTAATTACCAAGAACATAAAGAGATGCAAAAGCCACTGCAGGGGAGCTGGAAATGTCTTTAAAAAAGATGCCAACCCCGGAGAAGAGCTTCTGATGGTGGAGCTAGGTGTGGGTGTGAGGAAACCTGTGTGATCTGAGAAATCGCTTTAACATACGTGGGCCAAGGACTGATGTCTGTGATCAGAAAGACTGCAGGACGCTCACTCACCTGGAGGGGGCGGCCCCGGGACCGAGAGAGCAGTGGCCCGTAACAGCTTCACGTGTGTTCTAAACTGTACAGTGTTTGTACGTTCCCACAACTGAAAAGAAAAATAAGGGGCTCAGAGCTGTCCAGTGAGCGTAGTGCCCACTACACTGTGTCCCAGTAGAAGCGTGGCCTCCGATTCCCGCTGACTTTGCAAAGCAGTGATGGCGAACCTTTTGAGCTCGGCGTGTCAGCATTTTGAAAAACCCTAACTTAACTCTGGTGCCGTGTCACATATAGAAATTTTTTGATATTTGCAACCATAGTAAAACAAAGACTTACATTTTTGATATTTATTTTATATATTTAAATGCCATTTAACAAAGAAAAGTCAACCAAAAAAATGAGTTCGCGTGTCACCTCTGACACGCGTGTCATAGGTTCGCCATCACTGTTGCAAAGATACCCCAGGAGGAGGAACGCTGGCATCGCCTCACCCCACACTTACTCACCCACGAGGCCAAGCTTCCCGTCACAGGATTTACTTACTGAGAGACTCCAGGAATGCATTAGACTCGAGCATTAGTTCCTGGTTTTCGCTGTTGCCTTTATTGTATGATTGCCATTATGTTGTTTTAGAAACCGTTTATTGAGCATCTCATATATGTCAGGTGCTGGGCTAAGTGCTTTACCACTTTATTCCATTTGATCCTCGTGGTATCCTTTGAGATCTTATGCTCCTTCCTTTACGTGGGAAACAGGCTCAAATGAAGGCCTTCGCCCCAGAGAGATGCCAGTGCCAGAGTTCATGCTCAGACGCCCTCTGTTCCCTATTCTGAGCCAAACCCCCTCATCCCATGTGGGAAAGGGAGGGGACCTTACCTGCTATATTTGAGCTTCCAGTGACATTGGCTGATAGACCGACACCTCCATCTGCTTTTAGAACCTGATGGACCTTGGCTCCAAATGTCACCTCAGCATTTACAGATGGTTTGCTGTTGTACAGGTTAGTAAATGCCCTGTACCTCAGTTTTCTCATCTGAGAAATGGGATGATAGCTCCTAGCCAACAGTTGCTGAGTAGAGTAAAAGAGGAGTTCAGTGCCTGGCACATCATAAATGTTCCCCACATAATAAATGATATTATTCAGGTTCCTCAAGCCTGCTTCCTTGTTAGCCGTCAGTGAGTGTGTCTCTGCCTGCCAATGTCCTGTGCACAGCTCAGTCCACTCAGAAGGCTCCATCCCCCTGCAGGGACCAGGCCGTAACAGACGTGGCAACCTGCCTGGGCCTGCATTTGCTGTTGCACTTCCCACCTGTGCTGAGAATGTCACACGGAACTCCTACAAGTTCACAAACTGCTCTACAAAACCAAGGTAAGAAAAATGTCCCTTTCTTTTCTAAATCTACTCTGAGCTCCTACTTACCGTTCTCAGCAACTTCAGTAATTTGCTGTGGTTTCCTGGAAAGGCGGGCAGCCTGCCTTCCTCTGGGCTGTGCCTGTGTCCGCCGCTGAAGCAGGTCAGGAAGATGGCAGTGAGCACGGTGTTGTCATCCGTGTGTGCTGATCACTGTGTCTGTCACCTCTGCGCTGGACACCACTGCCCTCAGATCCAAAGGTCCTTCCTATGTCTCCAGGCTTCGGGCTCCAGGTGCAATGCCCAGTGTCCACAGGTAACCCCTCAGTCACCCCCACCCCGGTCCTGCCCGCTAGGAGGCACCATAGAATCTACAAGCTTTGGGGATCCAACACTCCAGGTTACACATTTCCCCCTCATTCCTCCAAAGCCAAAGTCTCATTCCTTCCTGCCACTGGGAGATCCAGGGTCCCTTCCCAAGGCCTGGACCTTTCAGAATAAGAGCCTGCTTGAGGGCGTTTCCCAAGTGACTCTCCTTCCCCTCCCGCCCCTCTTCTTTTTCTTAGTGAAACGGAAGTTCATTGGCCAGGCCCCTGGGGATAAAAGGAGCCAGGCTTTGGGAGCAGCCACGGATAACCTCCCACACGGTGGCAGAGGGCGGCGAGAGTCTTTTCATTCCTATGTGGAGTTCAGCGGCGACATCAATTAATTTCTCTAACTCACCTGTTGTGGATTCACAAGAGCCAGATAGAACTTGAGAGCTTTAATCTCATCCACCTCACTTCACTGAGGGGTCAAGTGAGGAGGTCCAAGGGCAGGG